TCCAGATGGGGTTTCCTTAGAGCCCCAACTGTCCTGGAATTCTCAGTGTGGACCAAGCTGGCCTCAATTTCACAGAGATCTGACTGTCTTGACTCCCAACTGTTAGAATTAAAGGTGTGTACCATTACTACAACTGGCTTTTTAAAAAATTTCTGATGTGTATGAGTGTATTGCCTATATGGTATGCAAGTGAACCATGTTGTGCAATGCCCTCAGAAGTCAGAAGAGGGTGTTGAATCTCCTGGAACTAGAGTTAGGGGAGGTTGTTAGCTGCTCTGTGGGTGGTGGGAACCAACCCTCAGGTCCTCTCTAGGAGCTACCAGTGCTCTTAACAACTGAGGCATCTCTCCAGTTCCGCCCACCTTTTTATAAGCAAATGTAGTTACTTGAGTTTTTCTTAGGGTTTATTTTGTGGTTCAAAGCTCTGTTGAGGGTCTGCTGTGAGGACACTCCAGTGACACAAGGCTAAAGCACAAGGCCTGTTTGAGCTATGGTGGCTCTGGTCTGGCCTCCTCTTTGTGTTCAGTATCACAGCTGGCCAGTGAAAATGCCACATCAGGCCTGGGTTCAGAGGAGGGAAAGGTGATGCCCTCTCCTGGGATTGGCAGACTGTCCTCTGGCCCACACTGGCTTTCCCAATCACATGATGGGAACTGAAAACTTAAGTTTTTTTCCTTATTATTCTTTTTGCTCTTGTGTTAGGACACAAATTTTGATAGGAAATGAAGATAGGACATGTTTATCTCTTTCTCAGAGATTATAAGAAAACAGGACCCATTAATCCCAGCACTCAGGAAGCAGAGGCAGGCAGATCTCTATGAGATCGAGGCCAGCCTGGTCTATACAGTGAATTATAGGCCAGCTGGGGCTGCAGGGAGACCTTGTCTCAAAAAGACAAAAAACCCTGAACCTAGACCAGGGTTGGGGTACAAGATAAGCCCAGTACTCAGGAGGCCAGAGGGTCAGGAGTTCAGGCCAGCCAGGACTACAGAGTGAGACCCTGTCTTGAATAACCTAAAACCAAACATCAATCCCCCCCATACCCCCCCCAAAAAAAAACCAGAAGAAAGAAGGGATGATAGAAGGGAAGGAGGGAGGCAAGAAGAAAGGGAGGGTGGGCTAGGACCGACATTAAATCCTTTTTTTTGAGACAGAGTCCCACTTACATAGCCCCAGCTGGCCTGGAACTTGATATGCCAACTGGCTACTTTGAACTCCTGATTCTCCTTCCTCCATCTCCTGAGTGCTGGGATTA